AACACACTGGAAGTTCAACATCAAATCTTGCATATATAGTTCTTTCGCTCAGATTGTAACATGTTTTTGCAGGTTGGTGTCCATATCAAAGTCTATAGAACTTGAAAACATTGTATCTGGTTTTAATGAATCAATTTACCAAAACATGATTGTCACGTAGAGGTATTTTCTTGACTACAGGGGCTTCAATGTACATTGCCATTAACTGATATTGGACATCACATTGGCCTGAACATATTTATACTATATGGGTTTATTCTGTGTAAAGTTGACTTTGTTACATGTATGTCCTTTGAAGTTAGTTAATGATTAGATTGTTTGCTTGTGGTCTATTTTACAGAGTTGTCATGAATTTATTCACTTGGTATCATTTTCTTCTACTAGGTCAAAACAGATAATATTTTTCTGTTATTTTAATTATATTATTCGAATAAAAATAAGGTAGAATTGTTTGAGAATACATTGCATACAATAGTAATACAAAATATTTAAAGATCAATGAATTTCTTTATGATGCAATAATAGTGTTCATGTTTGAGTGAATGAATGGTTGTGAATGTTTGTTCATGTATTTGTCCTCTGTATTTAACAAAGGCCAAAAACATTTCCACATTCATTTTTCTGCATGTGTCTCCAACTACCCTTTTTGTAACTGATGTTCTGCCACAATTAAATGTGAATTATAAACACAATCACGTGGAAGAATTTGTACCTCATCTACTTTTGTATGAGCATGTATTATGTACATGAAATGTATTGATGGTTTCATTAGGCGAAATAGAACTCTTCTTCAATGTATATTTTAAGTCAGATTTTTTGTTACAGAGTTAGTGTATGAATGAAAGTGAGGATTGAGTAAGGAGGTAATGAGTGCTTACTGGTATGTGAAGGACTCTTCTGTTGATATTTCTTGTGAAGTAATAAAAGTTATAATTGAAATTTGTCTTTGTTTCTTAAATGACATAGAAAGATAATCTATTGTAAGTCTCACACATCAGGTTGGATGTCCACATACATATATGCAAAGCAGTGTGGCATGAATACATGTAGGTTTATGCCTGATGGGTTAAAGAGCACATGTGCATGAAGTTTCAAATTTTAACTAACTTTCTGTGACTTCTCAAAATTACCTGATTTGATTATTTCAAAGGATATTATTTCATAAGATTTTTCCAAATTATTGAAAATAAAGTGAGGGAGCGAGTGAATTGGGTTTGAATGTGGCTTTCCAGAATATTTCACTGATCTCACGACGTCCAGAGTTAATGTAGGAGAACCAACACCACCATGGTATTTAAGTGATGTAGTAAGACCTGGAGGACAATGCCGGTATCTGGCTGACAGAGGGTGTTATGCAGCATGCATTCGCAATGTAGCATTGCATCCTAATTTCACCACTGCTGCTGATGGGAATCAAACTCTGGATCTTCAGTGAGCGCCCTGATGAAACAAGTGGCTGAAGGCAGGCTCACCAACCACTGAGCTAACCAACCCATTCCCCTCCACCCCCAATTGAAATATGGAACACATTGGCTTAAATACTAAAATTGATGATTTCAAAGGATTTTAATTTTTCGTATGTTCTATGCTGAAATACACATAATCAACTTAAGTCAACATCACAGATAAAGTTTTCAAATTTTGACTGAGTTAAGATTATTTTTTTTCCAAATTACTGAAACTGGACCAAATTGGCTAAAGTCCAATAATGAGGTGATTTCAAAGGATATTATTTTTATTCTTTTTTTTTATTTGTTTCTTCCCTTAAAATACATTGAAAAATTCAACTGCTCCATCATAAAATGAAATTTCACATTTTGACTGAATTTTACAAATTTTTTCACAGTATTGAAATTGGACCAAATTGGCTAAAGTCCCATAAACTGATGATTTCCAAGAATATAATTTTCTCTTCTTTTATATGTATAGCTTGCCTAAATACACATAACCAGACTTAATGGCAACATCCCAGAATGAATTTTTAAATTTGGACTAAATTTTGAAGATTTTTTCACAGTACTGAAATTGGACCAAATTGGCTAAAGTCCCATAAACTGATGATTTCCAAGAATATAATTTTCTCTTCTTTTATATGTATACCTTGCCTAAATACACATAACCAGACTAAATGGCAACATCCCAGAATGAATTTTTAAATTTGGACTAAATTTTACAGTTTTTTTCACAGTACTGAAATTGGACCAAATTGGCTAAAGTCCCATAAACTGATGATTTCCAAGAATATATTTTTTTCTTCTTTTATATGTATAGCTTGCCTAAATACACATAACCAGACTTAATGGCAACATCCCAGAATGAATTTTTAAATTTGGACTAAATTTTGAAGATTTTTTCACAGTACTGAAACTGGACCAAATTGGCTAAAGTCCCATAAACTGATGATTTCCAAGAATATAATTTTCTCTTCTTTTATATGTATACCTTGCCTAAATACACATAACCAGACTTAATGGCAACATCCCAGATTGCATTTTCAAATTTTGACTGAATTTTACAGATTTTTTTACAGTACTGAAATTGGACCAAATTGGCTAAAGTTCCATAAACTGATATATTCCAACACTAAATTTGGACCAAATTGGCTGAATCCCCGTGTTATTGTTAGATTCCTTATTTGTTGTATATCTACGATGAAACTGTAATTTCTATGTGAGCCATATTATTTATGTCAAAATCTAAGACCGAAAAACAAAACTTGTGTCATTACATCTGGCGGTAAATGGTATTCTCTTATCAAGAAAGTGATAAAATCTACTTCAAACACGATATACCTATGTTCTATGAGAAAACTTAACGCACACTCGCAGTAAATATATACAGTCCGTTTGAAGTTGCACGCATAGTTACAGGATTACCCAAACACATACTTGAAACAGGATGGAGCACTGTTCAGAAAGAAGAAAACATCGCTAACTTTGCATATTACATAAAAGTTACAATGATAAAGTCACCACATATATATTTACGTGACTCTTTGTCTATTACTGTTTAGACGGGGACTTCATAAAAATTTAGCAATGCGTGTAATATTCAAAAACATATATTTTTTTTCCTTCATCTTAAAAAATGTGAAGCGATGTACATATTGGAGAAGGGGACTAGTCAACCCGTACTTTCAACAACCCGTAACCCATACCTGAGATTTTGGCTTACCCATACATACATTTGGCTGATCCGTACTCAAATTGGCCGACCCGTACCTAAAATTGGCTGACCCGTCCCCAAATTCGGTTAAGCCGTACCTATGCATTTGGCTGACCCGTACCCTATAGACGTGTTTGTTATTAGAAAACAAAGTGGCGGAGAAACAGGATTGTTTTAACCAGAAGAGACAAAGGAAAACATACAAAAAAGTGTTTGATGCACATATTCATTCAATTTCATTCAATTCATACAAATTTATACTTCAGTCTCGGTGAATGACATCGACCTGACGTAGACAACATCATATTTATGCTAACTTCCGTCCAAGAGACCAGTTTGTGAAATATATCGGATGTTGTTTTCAGTAATTCCGACTGCCTTGAAGCTAGCCATTGTTATTACAAACTACCTATCGGTAGCGATTGGCTTATTCAGTTATTAACATGCTTTTCATTCAGTTAACTAAACATGGCAGATTTCAGATTATCAAAAGTTTAGCGTTTTATAAAAAATCTCATTATTTTGATAGTAAATGTCAACAATGAGTGTTTTACAAATTGGCTCAATCAATTAAGTGAACTTCCCGCTTTTGTTTAAGCATATTGGGTCAAGAAACTCTTGAGGGTCATGTCGATGTTAGATAAAACTATGTCTTTGTGTTGAATATTAGTATTAATAATATCAATTTCTATTGGGTACGGGTAAGCTTTTTCAAGGCAAGGGCCACTGAGTAAGGGTTATTGAAACATGGGTACGGGTAAGCCAAGAGATGTTTTCCCGCCCCCTCACTAAACTGAAGAGTAATAAACAAACAAACCACGTGAAATAAGAACATACAATATATAATAAAATCAAAACAAAAATACGACATGTAAAATTGTCTGCGAGGTCTGTCATGAGATAACTTCAAAAGGAATGTCCACTGGACGACGAGGTTAGGTCATAGTTTGCGTCAGTAACACAAATTGTACATAGATTTGAACTAATAATAAATGGCTGTGTAGGTAACACCTATACAAATATATTTTCAAAAGAGATTGAATTTCCAAAAATATCTATCAATAATCTCCATTTGTACTTCCCCGTCCTTGTGTTTACACTCCTTAATTTCTGAACATTTCCTAAGAGTGTATTTATGTTTCGTGTAAATATTGTTAATGAAAGTTATATACCCAAGTTGAAATAAGTTGTGCCCAATTTAAATATAAATATGTTGAAACAACACAGAAGATATATATCCACTGCCCTCCACTGGACAGACTTGCGGTGTTTTTCTTATGATTTTTTCAAATATATTTTCATCATTTAACTGGATTTGGGCGACAGTATAAAAAGACAATTAAGTTATTTTGTTTAAGACGTCGATAAGAATTATATATTTTTTGGCTTCTAATCCTTGCATAATTAGTCTATTGTGTGGTTTTCAGCCCTTTTGGACGTCTGTTGGGTCATTATGTTAAATACATGGATGGATGTTTCACAGATTAGTGCCCAATCAAGGCAGAGGAGACTACTGTGGTGCGATCGCTTTGGTGAACGAGACCCTCGTCGATACGATGACAGTACTGGGAGTTTTGGGGGACAGCTACACCAGATACGGTATATGAGCCCCTGTAACGCAACTGCACGACATACACCTTATTACCTGTAATGGCCAACTGTATAAATCGCGGTACACATAGAAAGCTTGGAGGAATCTCGTCTCGCAAGTCACAATACAGGTTTGAAATGGTATATGACGATATGGCTGGAACAATGCCGATGGGATGTCACATTTTAACTAACATATTTACTCAGACATACATTTTCTCTAAATAATGTCACAAAAAGCTTACCGAGTCTACGGTTTCTGGTAAGGTCCGATCGAGTTTGATCTTGTCGGTATCTCGGCGTCACATGTTATCGCGTTGATATGCTTGTTGCGACGTCCGTTGTTATGCTGCATGACTGCTTTTGATCTGCATACAAATCTACCCCGAGAAACTACTTTTACAGGTGTGCAGCGTTATTCATTAACAGGTGCGCTGGGCGTTCAATGCGTAATGTGTGTTACAGTGGGGAGTTGTGGGTAGCGGGTAGCGGGGGTGTGGTTGGTGCGAGTGTGTGTGTCCTACATTGTGCGACCTGGTTCTGTCCCGATGGACTGTTACTATTGGTGCCAGCCACTGATTTCTCTGGCCTAGACCCTGAATATTTTTAAAAGGGCACGTGTTGAATTATTTAGTATTTTTAATTACGTAGGAGATTGATTCTGTTAAGGGTTTAATAAACCTATGGCAAACTAATATAATAAAAATATGAATGATAGGAATATATGAAATGAATGAGACATGTATAGAGATGCTTACCCTTTTCGCGAACACCTGGTGTCATCACTGATTGTTAGTGGTCCATTCATATAATTTCCACAACTATTTGCCCTTTGTGACAAGTGGAATCTGTTTCGGCAGAAAATCTAGGCTTGTTTTTCTCTTGCATTGACAATTTATATTTACCTATTTGTCCCTTGTTATTTACAACAACCCATTATGTTTGTTTATCATTTTTAACAACGAGCCATCTACGCCACTTAATAAATTACCATCTTTAGACAACTGAAATACTGCGGTGTAGTATGAGGCAACAGACTAAGTAAGCATATGACGAGACTTGCCTTTGCAGTCTATTGAAGCATGAGTAAAATATATACTGATGGATGTCATCATATAAAATCTGAGGCTGCGGGCTAAACGTTTCCTCCACAAGGATCAAGCAGTGTTTACATAGGGAGCGCAGCCTTTCTATGTTAATTCAGGTAAAACAATCGTTTAAGAACAGCTCGTTGAGCCTGTGATAATATGTTTATGGACAGTGTGGGGAGCCCTCAGAAGACACACAGAGTCGACAGAAACTATACGGTAGCATCGAACTAACACAACCAGGTAGACAACACATGCTTGAGGTTGTTGCTAATGACATGTACCTAATATGTGACGACGCTGGAGTGGTGATACGAGTGGCACCGGTCCAGCCGCCGATGTCAGCATCACAGGTCCAGCCCCTACAGTCGGCATCACCGGCCAAACGCCCACAGTTTGTAACCATAGCACCGGAACCTCTCATACGCTCTGAATAAATATGTCAATATGCTATAATTTTCGATAATATATTGCAATGTTTCATAGGAAAATTACAGTGTGTGAGTGAGTTGGGTTTAACGCCGCTTTTAACGGTATTCCAGTTATATCGCGGCGTGTCAGCTTAATGTGGGAGGAAAGCCCGATGTGATGCAGGTCTCAGACGTTTACCACTTCGGTGAAACCCACGAGCACGGGTATGGTGCTGACAAACCTAGAAACATAATCGAGGCGAACGGGGTTCGAACCCACAATCATAGGTTTCTGGCGTGCCCAAGGGACGCAACTCTGCACAGCGAATCGCGGCGCCTTAGACGACTGGCCCCCCCCCGTGTCCCCGGAAAATTACAGAGTGGGTTTTGAACGGTTCCCACTGCTTGAGGTGAGGTGAGGTGGGGCGAGGTGAGGTTAGGTGAGGTGAATCACCATCAAATAGTGATGATACCTGTTTGCGAAAAAGTGAGCGTATCCTGCTCCACCCACGGTACCTGTCCCAAACACATACAAAGGCTAGTCAATTGGTCATATGATAAAACACGAAAACATACGGTACAAGTCAAAATAGGGAATCGCATCTGACCTCAATTATGTCACTGATGCGTCCTCCACCATAAAACGTTTTGAAAGCTTTACTGAGGCCTTGAATGTTGTAACCCTGATCAAACAACTTCTGAGCAAGACTCGTATGACGCTCTTTGAAACCTTGGAAGACAGAGCATGCTCGATTGTACCTCAAACGTTGTGAGATGCAAACACCAAAGGATTGAGCTGCTGGAATATTGGTCGACATAAAGGCAAAGTCCCTCTTGTCCTACAGTCTCGTGAACAGTGTGTTGTCACAGTGTGTTGACGTCACAATCAAATGACATCACTAATGGCAGCTACTGAAGCTGTTAGCAGTACTTTTTACACTTAATGGACTGCATGTTACTGTCTACAAACTGAAAAAGTTAGAAGAATGATGTTGGATGATAAATAAAATCTCACCCTCGTGTCTTTTGACATCAAATATATCAACACTCGTTGATAAAAGGGGACCTTGTGTTGATATATTTAATATCAAAAGACACTCGGGTGAGATTCTCTATACCTCACTCAGTCAACATTTATTAGAGACAGATTTCTAGTGACACGTCAAACCTCCAAATACTAAATTGTTGAATAATCAAACCAGAAGGAAAGATGTGAAGGAAATTTATTTCGAAAATTCATTTGGTTTATAATAACAAAAAGCGACTATGTATCTTTCCGTAATTATGAGAATTTTCTGCTAACATTATATGATAAGAATCCATTATACGATTCCGTGTACATGATAGTGATGCTACCAGATGTTGGAGAAAAGGGAGCACCCATCATACATTAGCAAAGCCAAGTGTTCACCTAAAAAACATTAAAACATTTAGGTCAAAATAGGAAATTTAATTAATATCTTTGAAGTCCTTGAAAGAAAGAAAATCAGTTGAAAGGACTTGACCCTTATCGAAAGATAACAGATCATCGATATATCAGAATATATACGTTAAACATCATGGCCAAATTCAAGATGACATAAGGTTACCAAGTTTAGTTACAAATGGAGGTGAGGTGAGGTTATATTGGGTTTAACGTCGCGTCCAAGATTATTGCGCTTATATAGCGACGTGCATGCACGTGTATGTGGCTGCTTGTACTAGTCCGGACTGATGCCGATTTATAGTGCTATCACAGTTTAACATGGATACCCCACTCAGACACAGTATACTGACTCCGAGCCGACCAGTCCTCGTTTTAGCCCCTTAATGCCGAGCGCCAGACAGGGTAACAACAAGTACCATCTTTTAACGTCTTTTGGTATGACGCGGCCGGGGATCGAATCCCGGACCTTCCGCTCCCCGGGCGGACGCTCTACCACTAGACCACGGAGGCGGTCCTGTTACAAATGGAACATGGATCAAGGAATATACTGTTTCATTAGGTTTGACATGTGGGATAGTGGTGTAAAGAGTTGAAAAATGTTTGACTGAATTAAATCTTATTTGAGATTGCAAAACATCAAGCAAGTCCTTTGAGTCTTCTAGAATCTACATGGTATTAATTCTTGTCACAAATACGTTCTGAATTCGTGAATATAAATAAAAGCCTGCTTTGATCGTATTCAGAATTGTGGTTAATCTATGAGATATTGATTTGGTGGTGCATTTGCTGAACCTAGCAACACATATCTGATTCTACGGACTTTATGAGGAATTGGAACCCAGTACAAACGAGGAATGGACATGTCATCAGGTTGTAGAGTCAAGTCAAAAATACATAGCACTGATTGGTGGTTTCGTCAGATTTGTTCCTCACTCAACACACTGGCCTGATACGTGGCATTATTTGATAGGTCACTTATACCAAGTTCTTTGATCAAACAGTTAATGCAGTGATTCTTGGTGGATGTCAAATATGTATTAAACCCACAATAATACAAACAACACAACAGACCAATGTAAGAAATAAGTCGGTCAAAATTAACTGATCATATTTATTGTGAGATAAAACACATTCTTTTCAATTTGCAAATTCATAATACAGTAATGTGTACCTACCGTGATATCCCAGATTGCTGGCAACGACCAGGGATATGACGTGTTCGGCTCCCTCGTCCCTACCGTCACAGAATACGCGTCAGAGTACGTCATCCCCGACATCCAGGCGGCAGGAAGACATTTCAACCTCAATGCCACTACGACCAAGGAATCAAATGCGTCCCCGACATCGGGGTCAAGGCCACTACCACCACGGAATCAAATGCGTCCCCGACATCGGGGTCAAGGCCACTACCACCACGGAATCAAATGCGTCCCCGACATCGGGGTCAAGGCCACTATCATCACGGAATCAAATGCGTCCCCGACATCGGGGTCAAGGCCACTATCATCACGGAATCAAATGCGTCCCCGAAATCGGGGTCAAGGCCACTACCACCACGGAATCAAATGCGTCCCCGACATCGGGGTCAAGGCCACTATCATCACGGAATCAAATGCGTCCCCGACATCAGGGTCAAGGCCACTATCATCACGGAATCGAATGCGTCCCCGACATCAGTGTCAAGGCCACTACCACCACGGAATCAAATGCGTCCCCGACATCGGGGTCAAGGCCACTATCATCACGGAATCAAATGCGTCCCCGACATCGGGGTCAAGGCCACTACCACCACGGAATCAAATGCGTCCCCGACATCAGTGTCAAGGCCACTATCATCACGGAATCAAATGCGTCCCCGACATCAGTGTCAAGGCCACTATCATCACGGAATCGAATGCGTCCCCGACATCGGGGTCAAGGCCACTATCATCACGGAATCGAAATACGTTCATGAGGCCGACGCATACTTTATGAACATAAATTGCCAATGCAGGAGAATAACCACCCTCGATTTTCTGTGACACAAGATTCCATTTGGCGTGATCCCCGTCTTCCCGTCATAAGGCCTTATGTGTTCCCTGTCTTCCTGTGTCATGTCTTGTGTTCCCTGCCTTCCTGTGTCATAATGTCTCATGTGTTCCCTGCCTTCCTGTGTCATAATGTCTCATGTGTTCCCTGCCTTCCCGTGTCATAATGTCTCATATGTTTCCTATGTTCCTGTGTCATAATGTCTCATGCGTTCCCTATGTTCCTGTCATGTCTCATGTGTTCCCTATGTTCCTGTGTCATGTCTCATGTGTTTCCTGTCATAATGTCTGATGTGTTCCCTATGTTCCTGTGTCATGTCTCATGTGTTTCCTGTCATAATGTCTGATGTGTTCCCTATGTTCCTGTGTCATGTCTCATGTGTTCCCTATGTTCCTGAGTCATAATGTCTCATGCGTTCCCTATGTCCCTGTGTCATGTCTCATGTGTCTCTATGTTCCTGTGTCATAATGTCTGTGTTCTCTATGCTCCTGTGTCATGTCTCATGTGTTCCCTATGTTCCTGTGTCATAATGTCTGTGTTCTCTATGTTCCTGTGTCATAATGTCTGTGTTCCCTATGTTCCTGTGTCATAATGTCTGTGTTCTCTATGTTCCTGTGTCATAATGTCTGTGTTCTCTATGTTCCTGTGTCATAATGTCTGTGTTCCCTATGTTCCTGTGTCATAATGTCTCATGCGTTCTCTATGTTCCTGTGTCATAATGTCTGTGTTCCCTATGTTCCTGTTATGTCTCATGCGTTCCCTATGTTCCTGTCATGTCTCATGTGTTCCCTATGTTCCCGTGTCATAATGTCTGTGTTCCCTATGTTCCTGTGTCATAATGTCTGTGTTCCCTATGTTCCCGTGTCATAATGTCTGTGTTCCCTATGTTCCTGTGTCATAATGTCTCATGCGTTCCCTATGTTCCTGTCATGTCTCATGTGTTCCCTATGTTCCCGTGTCATAATGTCTGTGTTCCCTATGTTCCTGTGTCATAATGTCTGTGTTCTCTATGTTCCTGTCATGTCTCATGTGTTCCCTATGTTCCCGTGTCATAATGTCTGTGTTCCCTATGTTCCTGTGTCATAATGTCTCATGCGTTCTCTATGTTCCTGTCATGTCTCATGTGTTTCCTATGTTCCTGTGTCATGTCTCATGTGTTTCCTGTCATAATGTCTGATGTGTTCCCTATGTTCCTGTGTCATGTCTCATGTGTTCTCTATGTTCCTGTGTCATAATGTCTCATGCGTTCCGTATGTCCCTGTGTCATGTCCTATGTGTTCCCTATGTTCCTGTGTCATAATGTCTATGTTCTCTATGTTCCTGTGTCATGTCTCATGTGTCCCCTATGTTCCTGTGTCATAATGTCTGTGTTCCCTATGTTCCTGTGTCATAATGTCTGTGTTCCCTATGTTCCTGTGTCATAATGTCTCATGCGTTCTCTATGTTCCTGTGTCATAATGTCTGTGTTCCCTATGTTCCTGTGTCATAATGTCTCATGCGTTCTCTATGTTCCTGTCATGTCTCATGTGTTCCCTATGTTCCTGTGTCATAATGTCTGTGTTCCCTATGTTCCTGTGTCATAATGTCTGTGTTCCCTATGTTCCCGTGTCATAATGTCTCATGCGTTCTCTATGTTCCTGTGTCATAATGTCTGTGTTCCCTATGTTCCTGTTATGTCTCATGCGTTCCCTATGTTCCTGTGTCATAATGTCTCATGCGTTCTCTATGTTCCTGTCATGTCTCATGCGTTCTCTATGTTCCTGTGTCATAATGTCTGTGTTCCCTATGTTCCCGTGTCATAATGTCTGTGTTCCCTATGTTCCTGTGTCATAATGTCTCATGCGTTCTCTATGTTCCTGTCATGTCTCATGCGTTCTCTATGTTCCTGTGTCATAATGTCTGTGTTCCCTATGTTCCCGTGTCATAATGTCTGTGTTCCCTATGTTCCTGTGTCATAATGTCTCATGCGTTCCCTATGTTCCTGTCATGTCTCATGCGTTCCCTATGTCCCTGTGTCATGTCTCATGTGTTCTCTATGTTCCTGTGTCATAATGTCTGTGTTCTCTATGTTCCTGTCATGTCTCATGTGTTCCCTATGTTCCCGTGTCATAATGTCTGTGTTCCCTATGTTCCTGTGTCATAATGTCTCATGCGTTCTCTATGTTCCTGTCATGTCTCATGTGTTTCCTATGTTCCTGTGTCATGTCTCATGTGTTTCCTGTCATAATGTCTGATGTGTTCCCTATGTTCCTGTGTCATGTCTCATGTGTTCTCTATGTTCCTGTGTCATAATGTCTCATGCGTTCCGTATGTCCCTGTGTCATGTCCTATGTGTTCCCTATGTTCCTGTGTCATAATGTCTATGTTCTCTATGTTCCTGTGTCATGTCTCATGTGTTCCCTATGTTCCTGTGTCATAATGTCTGTGTTTCCTATGTTCCTGTGTCATAATGTCTGTGTTTCCTATGTTCCTGTGTCATAATGTCTGTGTTCTCTATGTTCCTGTCATGCCTCATGTGGTCCCTATGTTCCTGTGTCATGTCCCACTGTCCCTAAGTTCCCGTGTCATAATGTCTCCTGTTTCCTACATGTATGTTCCCGTGTCATAATGTCTGTGTTTCCTATGTTCCCGTGTCATAATGTCTCATGTGTTTCCTATGTTCCCTTGTCATAATGTCTCATGTGTTTCCTACGTGTATGTTCCCGTGTCATAATGTCTGTGTTTCCTATGTTCCCGTGTCATAATGTCTCATGTGTTTCCAATGTTCCTGTGTCATAATGTCTTCTCTGTCTTCCTGTATCTCAAGAATGTTTGGAATATAAATTTAACAAGTTTCTTAAGAAAAGCTGTTTAATGGTTTGATTGATAAAATACAGATACATCAGTACATCATAAGTACAGAAGCAAGATCACATCTGTCGGACACTATATACATTAATATGTTAATCCCCTGAGAAGAATTATATCTTCACACAAATTCAACACTATGTAGATATCTAGGTGTCATCTATCCTGGTACACATCTATCACAGTCAATCCAAAGTCAACATTCTTTCGAAATTTTGAGAATGAACTTTTGCTGATTGGATATATTACTTGTCAATATTAAACATATAAATGTAAACATCTCACCAAAGTCTCACATTTTAGTATATATGTTTCAATGAATTTGAATAACATAAATCATAACAAACACAATTTTGTTTCTTTTAACAACCGTTTCCTGCCCCAGGTAGATATGCAAGCCATTGTTGGAAGAGTGGGGCTGATACAAGTGAGTTTGTTAAAAGGCTGCAGATTTACATATAGACGAGCGTACGGTAACGGATCAGTAGGTATCCACAACTCAACCTCTGGAGTCCAGAACCAGAGACTGATGATTATACATTTATGATGATTATCTGCTCAAACTTTTAACACTTGTGGAGAATCGCCAATCTTAAAATGAAGAAGACTTTTGATGACTCTTAGTTTGAGTCTTCTCTACACATCACTGCGCCGTCATTTACTGGAAATTAGAGAAAACAATTCATTAATAAAGTTAATAAACTTTGAAAACTGTTAATGTACCTGTTCTTAGTGTCAACACAATTTCAAAGTGAATGTTTTTATTATATTTCAATGAAAGCCACCCATGTCTGGACGTTACGCCTATACCCAGTATCCCTTTATCAGGATGATCTGACTCAGAAGTTGCAGAATATGTACCACGGTTTCATTGGACAAACATGAACGTGAGATTGTCACTTACACCACATGCCCCAGGGTACCCATCCGTGCTGTGATGCGATCTTGGGCGGAGGTGATTGCACTTGTTGACCACTCGTTGTCCAGTATTGCCAGGGCGCTCTTGAAGTACTTGACTGCCTCGTCCGCGTGGTCATTCATATGCTCCACCACACCAAGGCCCTCCAGAGCTGACCAATGCAGTTCCTTGTCATCTTCCAACACAACAAACAGCATGATAAAGGAGTGATGCATACTGTAGAGTTACTATATAATGTACACACATGCATACCAAGGAACTCATGCGTTTAGTTTTGTTTGTTTGTTTTTAACGCCTCACTCAGCAATATTCCAGCTATATGATGGCTAGGTGTAAATAATCGAGTCTGGACCCGAAAAATTCACAATCCAGTGATTGACATCATGAGCATATATCCACTCAATTGGGATACGATGACGTGCATCAACCAGGTCAGCAAGCCTGACCACCTGATCCCATTAGTAGCCTCTTATGACAAGCATAGTCGCATTTTATGGCAAGCATGGTTGCTGAAGACCTATTCTACCCCAGATCTTCATTGGTCTCATGTGTTTAGATTTAGCTAATACATTGGACATCAAACTACCTACATTTCTGCATTTTCTTGCAAATTCACTAACAGTATTTCACATATATGTGGGTATGTATTCAGCTGATGTGAAAGTTCATATCCATTCTTAAATCAAGTCAATTTCCAAAATATTTTATTCAGAACCTAAGCCATAGGTAGTTTCCACAACCTTATCTAATATCTTAAATTCAAGTCAATTTCCAAAATATTTTATTCAGAACCTAAGCCATTGGTAGTTTCCACAACCTTATTTCCACAACCTTATCTAATATCTTAAAATCAAGTCAATTTCCAAAATATTTTATTCAGAACCTGAGCCATTGGTAGTTTCCACAACCTTATCTAATATCTTAAAATCAAGTCAATTTCCAAAATATTTTATTCAGAACCTAAGCCATTGGTAGTTTCCACAACCTTATCTAATATCTTAAAATCAAGTCAATTTCCAAAATATTTTATTCAGAACCGGAGCCATTGGTACTTTCCACAACCTTATCTAATATCTTAAAATCAAGTCAGTTTCCAAAACAATTTGTGAAGAACTCGAGGCACTGGGTCTTCACACCACCGCGAGGTACTGGATGATACACTATTCACCTGAACTAAGCCACTGAGGTTCTATCAGCTGAGCATGTTTCTTGCCAGCATGTACAATGCTGGAAGTTGGGTCCTACCTTCCTCACGGGCTATGGTCAAGGCCTCCTGGTAGGCTGTGCTTGCCTTGTCCGCGTTCCCCCTGTGAACCTCGGCCAGACCGATGTGTATGTAGCACTTCCCTAGCTCCTTCACAGACATCCGGTCGTCGGTTTGGTCATCATCTGTCAGATCATGTGGATCAGAGGTATTACACAAAGTTGTAATCTGTTCTGTCTAATTCTGCACATGCCACGATGATAGAATATGAATCGTTTAGTAAATAAATAAATTGTGATTCCAAGTTATTTGATTGTCCAACTTAGCAATTACGAAGAAATAGGCCACACCTACAAGTGGACTACTGTTTCTGATTGGTTGATAATGTATACTGGAGTGGGTGGGCTTGTGGTGCATTATTTTGTATTGTTATCTACAGAATTCTTTTGTGTAAATCCTCTATTCACTCTGGCTTGATCCAAGAGTTGTCAGTTCACAAGTCAGGATCAAACCTTAGTGAATGTTGGTGAACGTTGCAGTCAGCAATATTCCTTCGCTTTCATGGCTAGATTGAGTCTAGACGAGACAACCTGTGTTTGGTAATATGACCACAATCCAAACTAGCAATGCACGAAGACACTATATCAGCAAGGTGACATTGTAACCATCCAATCCTCATTTAAGCAGGATCAGTGAGTGAGTATGGTTTTAGGCCGCTTTTAGCAATATTCCAGCAATATCACACAGGGGACACCACGAATGGGCTTCACACATTGTACCCATGTCGGGAATCAAACCCGGGTCATCGGCGTGACGAGCGAACGCTTTAACCACTAGGCTACCCGACCCCCCATGATGATAAGTACTGGATGCTGGGGACATATTCTGAAATGCATTTTTAACAGGGGCCTCATCTCAACAAGGTTATTGTGATAAATACCCAAATAATATAACTGGGTTTGTATTACAACTCATTTAATCTTGAAGCTTCCTTTACGTCGAGATTAAACTGAAGTTCCTTTAATTTTGGGATATTAGGAATCATACCCTCAATTCATTGTCACTTTGCATGTAAATTATCAGGTGGAGGAAAATCACTCATCAACTAACCATAATTTTGAAGATTGATAGAAAAGTAATATCTTACTCTTGCATTCTCTCATCTTCTTATCTGGGCCACTCCCCAGAGCTCTGGTCAACTTGGTCCTGAAGAAAGTGTCCATGCTGCTGACTTTCCTGTCTTCAACAGTCCTAAACAGTTCATCACGGATTTCCCCCCACTGTTCTCTCTGCAAGGCGACTATATCTGATATGGAAAACAGGAGGAAGGCATCAATATCACATCTTACATTTTCTGCATGAAAGAACATTCTCGTTTATGCAAGACTTTTACGCGAGATTTTTGTGTGAATAATCAAAGGTTGTGCCATGTGTAATAAGTCATGACATGTGTCAATATCATGTGGTTTATCATTGTCATGTCATGTGGTGTATAAAGTCACGTCATGTGGTGTATCAAGTCACGTCATGTGGTGTATCAAGTCACGTCATGTGGTGTGTCAAGTCATGTCATGTGGTGTATCAAGTCATGTCATGTGGTGTATCAAGTAACGTCATGTGGTGTATCAATGTATCAAGTCACGTCGTGGTGTATCAAGTCACGTCATGTGGTGTATCAAGTCATGTCATGTGGTGTATCAAGTCATGTCATGTGGTGTATCAAGTCACGTCATGTGGTGTATCAAGTCATGTCATGTGGTGTATCAAGTCACGTCATGTGGTGTATCAAGTCACGTCATGTGGTGTATCGATGTATCAAGTCACGTGGTGAATCAAGTCACGTCATGTGGTGTATCAAGTCATGTCATGTGGTGTATCAAGTCATGTCATGTGGTGTATCAATGTCACGTCATGTGGTGTATCAGGTCATGGGAGGTGAGGTGAAGTGAAATGGGGTTTAGCGTCGCCATGCGTGCTTGTACTTGTCTGAAGTAAAGCCTATTTTACTGTGCTGGAGATACCATGCTGTAGTTTAACATGAATACCCCACACAGACTTTCTTCCCGAGGCAAGGGAGTTAACTGACTGCAAAAGTCCAGTTTCCACCCTTGCCAAAGGCGAAGCATAATGGAATTTCTCAGATCGATCATAGTGCCATCAGTGGATATTACGAGTTATGTCCCTTCTATGTCCCTGTTACTGACCAATCAGATTCAACCTCTCATAACACTTGCATTTGCTTCAAACAAAATTGCGATTATTAAAATCTACATTGTGACAAAACAGGTCTTACTTCACAAAGTGCATCATATCATGGGAGCACCTTGATTAAAAACGTGAAAAGACTTTGAAAATATCTGTTCAGGCCAAGTTGGCGGTACACATAGTTTGCAAATCCTGCAATCGACAGAAATCTGCACAGAAGTTTATGAACCGGATGTCGATTTCATTACGCAATTTTGATTGGACTATGCTTAGACTCGTTAGTCCAGCCAAAATATTACTCCATAATTCCAGCTTAGTTTGGTATGGGTGAAAACTGAACTTTTATAGTCAGTTACCTCCCTTGCCTCAGGAAAATGATAATTAGTGGAAGCTGGCACCATTTACCTGGCAGGAACGCTAAAAATAGGACAGGTCATCGACATATACCCGTTTGGAAAAACCAAAAGAATTGGTATTGCAGACCGAGGATCATAATCAGTAAGATCTTTAACAGAGTTTAAATAGTCATAGAGCTATACACGATTGACAAAAACATTTTCAAGAATCAGGTTCATATCAGTACAATAGTAACAACATGTGGGAAACTTGACAAACAATATTCTTCTATGTGTGTGGACACGCTGGAGTGACAACACAAATTCATATATAGTCAGTTAACTCCCTTGCCTTGGGAAGATGCACACAGACACAGTACACTGACTCTGAGCCAATCAGTCCTTGTTTTAGCCCCTTAATGCCTAGTGCCAGGCAGGGTAACAACAAGTGTCATCTTTTAATGTAGTTTTGGTATGACGCGGCCGGGGATCAAACCCCCGACCTTCCGCTCTAGACCACGGAGGCGGTCCTATCAGGTCATATAATCTGCTGTATCACGTCATGTCATGTGTAACAAGTCATGTTATGTGGTGTATGAATGTCATGTCATGTCGTGTGGCAAGTCATATCAGGTCATGTAGTATATCAGGTCATGTAATCTGGTGTATCAAGTGATGTGATGTGATGTATGAATGTCATGTCATGTCGTGTGGCAAGTCATATCAGGTCATGTAGTATAAGTCATGTAATCTGGTTAATCACATGTCATGTGCAACACGTCATCACATGTGGTGTATGAAGTCATGAGATGTGATGTATGAATGTCATGTCATGCCGTGTGGCAATTCATATCAGGTCATGTAGTATAAGTCATGTAATCTGGATAATCACATCATGAGATGTGGTGTATGAATGTCATGTCATGCCGTGTGGCAAGTCATATCAGGTCATGTAGTATAAGTCATGTAATCTGGATAATCACATCATGAGATGTGGTGTATGAATGTCATGTCATGCCGTGTGGCAAGTCATATCAGGTCATGTAGTATAAGTCATGTAATCTGGTGTATCAAATCATGAGATGTGGTGTATGAATGTCATGTCATGTCGTGTGGCAAGTCATATCAGGCCATGTAGTATAAGTCATGTAATCTGGTGTATCAAGTGATGTGATGTGGTGTACCAACTCACTGACGCAGCAGGGTAATGGTAGGTATATCAGTGTTGGGAGTTGAACAATGTGTGTTTTTTTTTTTTAAAATAATTGAGTCTGGACCTGACAATCCAGTGATTGACATCAAGAACATTAATCCATGCAACTGAGATACAATGACATGCATCAACCAAGTCAGCAGCCAGACCACCTGAACCCGTTTGTCACCTCTTCCACAAGCAAGGGTTGCTGGGGACCAAAATTCTTACCCCGAATCCCCACGGGTGGGGAGTCAGCTGCCATAATGTAACACATCAGTAACTTTTCAAATCAACACATTTCTGGTTGGTTGGTTGGTTTGTTGTTTAACGCTGCACTCAGCAATATTCAAGCTATATGACGGCTGTCTGTAAATAATCGAGTCTGGACCAGACAATCCAATGATTAAGATCATGAGCATCGATCCACGCAATTGGGATCGATGACATGCATCAACCAAGTCAGCGAGCCTGACCACCCGATCCCATTAGTTTCCTTTTACGACAAGCATAGTCACCTTTTACGGCAAGCATGGGTTGCTGAAGACCTATTCTACCTCGGAATCTTCTAATTACCTTCACTTAACCTATATTCCGATTCTGAGTCTGAGCTGTCACTGTCATCCTCCAGTGCTAGTGAGGTCTCCAGTGTCGACACCTCCTCACATTGTGTGCCTGAGCTGGCAACAGGAGCACACTCCACCCCTACACCTTCATCTTCCTCCTGTGAACCAACACCAGGATCAGAGTCATCATCATCAGGCCCACTGTATTCACCAGCACCAGCACCAGCAGCACCATCACCAGAAGCAACATCTACGTGGGATACATCAGGTGGGGTTTTATGTCGTTTTACTTTAGGTTCAAGCAAAGGCTCTGGTGTTTTTTCTTTGAATATAGGATCGTTTTGTAATTTCGAAACTGTTCGAAGTTTTTCAAGAAGAGAAATGTCCGTGCCTGTTGACTCAGGTCGGTATTTGAGGGTTGAGTCATCTATTGCATCTTCTATCAGACGGTACAGCACCCTCTTCACCATCTTTAATCTCCCAGCATTGATCAGCTCATCCAGCTCATCTTCCTGCTCTCTGAAAATGAGATGCCCAAATTGTTTATGAGTAGCATTAGTTATAGAACATGGATTTGTTTGTGTGTTGTTTAACGCTGCACTCAGCAATATTCAGCAATATGACGGCAGTCTGTAAATAATCGAATCTGTATCAGACAATCCAGTGATTGACATCATGAGCATTGATATACGCAATTAACAAGCCTGACCACCCGATCCTGTTGTTAGTCGCCTCTAACGAGCATGGGTTGCTGAAGACCGATTCCAACTTGGATCTTCACGGGTGTATAGAACATGGAGCCCATGAATTACTAACAACTCTGTATTCTAGAATGTAAACTCACTCAACAAGCTCTCAACAGTGTTAACATCCATTGATCTACACGGATATAGGTTAGAAAGGGTTCCTGGCTAAGTATAAACCAATACTGCTGTCTAAACTGACGTTGTATTAGCAGAGGGTATGCTTGCATACACAGCTTTTATTTGGGAAAGGATGGGTGCATTTGCATTTGTTTAATTTTCTTGATACATGTAATATCATCGCCAAATGAGATAATCATGTTGTTTTACCAAACAATTTCAAAATGTACAAATGTTTCAAAAGATGGGGCTGCACATTATTGCATCCCTGCATCCTGTGCACACACCATTGTCTCATCAGTATAATAAGATCAACCCTTAAACACACAGCTCTGCCTCAACGGGATGTGGGTTAACAGGGGATAACCAGGCGCGGTCACAGTATCCCCTCATAAAACCCTTGCTTCAACAGGATGGCTGTTTACAGAGGTTAAACTGTACACATAAAACCTCTGCTTCAACAGGATGTCTTTTTACAGAGGTTAAACTGTACACATAAAACCTCTGCTTCAACAGGATGTCTGTTAACAGAGGTTAAACTGTACACATAAAACCTCTGCTTCAACAGGATGTCTGTTTACAGAGGTTTAACTTACACAAAACCTCTGCTTCAACAGGATGTCTGTTTACAGAGGTTAAACTGTACACATGAAACCTTTGCTTCAACGGGATGTCTGTTTACAGAGGTTAAACTGTACACATGAAACCTCTGCTTCAACAGGATGTCTGTTAACAGAGGTTAAACTGCACACATAAAACCTCTGCTTCAACAGATGTTGGTTTACAGAGGTTAAACCGTACACAGGAAACCACTAGTCAAGAGGATGTCAGTTTACAGAGGTTGGCTTGTATACATAAAACTCTGCTTCAACAGATGCTGGTTTACAGAGGTTAAACTGTACACATGAAACCTCTAGTCAAGAGGATGTCAGTTTACAGAGGTTGGCTTGTATACATAAAACTCTGCTTCAACAGATGTTGGTTTACAGAGGTTAAACTGTACACATGAAACCTCTAGTCAAGAGGATGTCAGTTTACAGAGGTTGGCTTGTATACAGAAAACTCTGCTTCAACAGATGTTGGTTTACAGAGGTTAAACCGTACACAGGAAACCTCTAGTCAAGAGGATGTCAGTTTACAGAGGTTGGCTTGTATACATAAAACTCTGCTTCAACAGATTTTGGTTTACAGAGGTTAAACTGTACACAGGAAACCTCTAGTCAAGAGGATGTCAGTTAACAGAGGTTGGCTTGTATACATAAAACTCTGCTTCAACAGATGTTGGTTTACAGAGGTTAAACTGTACACATGAAACCTCTAGTCAAGAGGATGTCAGTTTACAGAGGTTGGCTTGTATACATAAAACTCTGCTTCAACAGATGTTGGTTTACAGAGGTTAAACTGTACACATGAAACCTCTAGTCAAGAGGATGTCAGTTTACAGAGGTTGGCTTGTATACATAAAACTCTGCTTCAACAGATGTTGGTTTACAGAGGTTAAACTGTACACATGAAACCTCTAGTCAAGAGGATGTCAGTTTACAGAGGTTGGCTTGTATACATAAAACTCTGCTTCAACAGATGTTGGTTTACAGAGGTTAAACTGTACACATGAAACCTCTAGTCAAGAGGATGTCAGTTTACAGAGGTTGGATTGTATACATAAAACTCTGCTTCAACAGATGTTGGTTTACAGAGGTTAAACTGTACACATGAAACCTCTAGTCAAGAGGATGTCAGTTTACAGAGGTTGGATTGTATACATAAAACTCTGCTTCAACAGATGTTGGTTTACAGAGGTTAAACTGTACACATGAAACCTCTAGTCAAGAGGATGTCAGTTTACAGAGGTTGGCTTGTATACATAAAACTCTGCTTCAACAGATGTTGGTTTACAGAGATTAAACTGTACACATGAAACCTCTAGTCAAGAGGATGACAGTTTACAGAGGTTGGCTTGTATACATAAAAGTCTGCTTCAACAGATGTTGGTTTACAGAGGTTAAACCGTACACAGGAAACCTCTAGTCAAGAGGATGTCAGTTTACAGAGGTTGGCTTGTATACATAAAACTCTGCTTCAACAGATGTTGGTTTACAGAGGTTAAACTGTACACATGAAACCTCTAGTCAAGAGGATGTCAGTTTACAGAGGTTGGCTTGTATACATAAAACTCTGCTTCAACAGATGTTGGTTTACAGAGGTTAAACTGTACACATGAAATCTCTAGTCAAGAGGATGTCAGTTTACAGAGGTTGGCTTGTATACATAAAAGTCTGCTTCAACAGATGTTGGTTTACAGAGGTTAAACCGTACACATGAAACCTCTAGTCAAGAGGATGTCAGTTTACAGAGGTTGGCTTGTATACATAAAACTCTGCTTCAACAGATGTTGGTTTACAGAGGTTAAACTGTACACATGAAACCTCTAGTCAAGAGGATGTCAGTTTACAGAGGTTGGCTTGTATACATAAAACTCTGCTTCAACAGATGTTGGTTTACAGAGGTTAAACTGTACACATGAAACCTCTAGTCAAGAGGATGTCAGTTTACAGAGGTTGGCTTGTATACATAAAACTCTGCTTCAACAGATGTTGGTTTACAGAGGTTAAACTGTACACATGAAACCTCTAGTCAAGAGGATGTCAGTTTACAGAGGTTGGCTTGTATACATAAAACTCTGCTTCAACAGATTGTTTACAGAGGTAGACCTATACACATAACACCTCCACTTCAATGTACTAGTATACATGTTTACAGATCTAGGATAGTCTGTAGGGCTGGGACGAGTCCAAATTTACCATGTACCTGACCCCCTTTACCCGACCCTACCCGGGTACCCGACCCCCTATACCCGACCCTACCCGGGTACCCGACCCCTATTACCCGACCCTACCCGGGTAACCACTGCAAGTCTCAAGAGTAGGGAACAAAATGTCTGATTGGTAATTGTTTTACCACAGCCCTGGCTAAAACTATTTAGATACATGTATCAAACAATCAGATCCTGCATTCACTGAAGTTGACTGAAGCTTTATCTTTACTCAAACAAATACAAGTCAAAAGGAATGTGTGCATTGTCAGAAAGAAATGCGAACATTAGCGACTTGTAGTGTAACCACTGAGCTATAGTGAGTTTTTGTCATTAAACCACGGGTCCGGTAGTCCTGTGGGTACCCGGGTCCTACTCAGGACCCACCCGACCCGAGTAACCGAGTTACGCATCCCTGCCCTAATATAGCCCTAATTTCAAAGTATTTTGGTTTACAGTGATTAGCATGTATACATTAAACCTCTACATCAACAGATGTCTGTTTACAGAGGTAAACATGTATACATAAAAATATACTATACTACACAACACTTAAAAAATTACAGTACTTTCTATTTCTTGTTTAGTACAGTTCAATATCTGAGTAAATATCTTACTGGTCACAAACATATTGCCCATTTCCTTTTCCTTCTGTTAATTATGAAAATAAAGCATAATCAATATATCCTCAGAACCCCCCACAATAACAATGCTTTTCGCAAAAAGAATTAAGTTTTTTAAACTGGTGTCCACTTGTAAGCGATTATAGAGGTAAGGAATAGTATACGAAACCCACTTTAACGATGGGGGGGGGGGGGGGGGGGGGGGGGGGGGGGGGGGGACAAGGTGACATTAAGCTCCACACAGCGCGTGTTACATTCGCTTCGTTTTTCTCGTTTATTGAACAGGTACAGCAGGAAATGAGGTATCGCTGCAAGGAGCTTAATTAACATTATCCACAAATAGGCTTCCGGGTTTCTGTGCACGGGGAAAGATATCGTTTGAAATATCCTTTCACTGATTTATCTGGTAATTGTCAACCAAATAAGGCATATGATTTTACCTTTTCAGCCTCTGTAGAAAGTTGTGATATTCCCGCTCGAACTGACTGTAACACAGGAACTCGCCCATGTCGGCCGACGCTTACAACCTAGAATAGTAGAACTAACTGGGCATCGTAGAAGGCGAGATGGCAGGTCCTCTTGTGTTGTGTTGTAACATATTACTTTGTGTAGTTCTAAACGTGGTCAACAACATCCTTGTACTGGGAAATAATGCTCAACCCTCCATCATGTCCGTGGCATCGATCAGTATGGCTACGAACCAGAACTTGCAGCTGAATCGTCCGCAATGAGAAGGTTTCCGAAAATAGCTTCCTGGGTCAGAGGTCAGGTGCGTTTTCGCAATACGACCTGCAGTGAGCCATGAACGCTGACATATATGGGCATGTAAACAATCGTATATTGAAATGATCCACAGTTTGTGTGAAAATTTTCGCCGTGCATGCTGTAGATATATACCTATGTCTTGACAGACAAATATTTGTATGATTTGCACACACGACCTGAACGACAAACCTTTATATTTATAGAGTGTTGCAATTTAAACTTAATGATACAATGTACTTCAACTGTAAGCAACATGATGGCTTGAGTAAGGGTTTACTTCACGTCGCAATGAACAACGTAAAAATAAGAATATTAAAATAAGAAATATATATATGCACATCAAAACATCTGTCCAGTCCCGATGATCCATCATTTAGTCGGATGTAGCAGTAATTCTTGATTGTTGTTTTGTCTTAATCAAAACAAAACCAGTAATTTGACCGATAATATGTATTGCGAACAGAAAGAAGTTTAGTACGTTTGAATACATATCAGCATCACCAAACTATTTGTTCACATTTCATTACAATGACGTTCGAGGTATTAATAATCATGACATGATAACTCAAGTCTGAGACAGTGTTCTTACCCGGCCATATTTGGGGCTGTAGCTGAAGTTGCGTCTCGAGCAATCTGGAATAGTGAGTGAGTGAGTGAGTATGGTTTTACGCCGCTTTTAGCAATATTCCAGCAATATCACGGCGGGGACACCAGAAATGGGCTTCACACATTGTACCCATGTCGGGAATCGAACCCAGGTCTTCGGCGTGACGAGCGAACGCTTTAACCGCTAGGCTACCCGACCGCCCCCAATCTGGAATAGAGATAGGAGTTTGTCCTTGTCGGAATCTATCTAGCGGTGTCATATATAGTAATACTTGCCTTCTGTGTTAACATTGACCTTATTTAAATCCGATAGTATATACATACATACATGGCCTCTGAGCAAACATGGGGCGGTCGGGTAGCCCTGTGGTTAAAGCGTTCGCTCGTCACGCCGATGACCCGGGTTCGATTCCCGACATGGGTACAATGTGTGAAGCCCTTTTCTGGTGTCCCCCGCCGTGATATTACTGGAATATTGTTAAAAGCAGCGAAAAATCAAACTCACTCACTCACTGAGCAAACACGACAATTGCACATTTCCAGCATGTTTGTTTGTTTGTTGTTTAACGTCGCACTCGACAATATTAGAGCTTTGTGACGGCAGTCTGTAAATAATCGAGTCTGGACCAGACAATCCACTGAGTGACATCATGAGCATCGATCCACATAATTGGGATACGATGACATGCATCAACCAAGTCGGCGAGCCTGACCACCCGACCCCGTTAGTCGCCTCTTACGACAAGCATAGTCGCCTTTTACGGTAAATATGGGTTGCTGAAGACAAACCGGATCTTCACACTGTTTCGTGCGACTTGGCGTGGCGTGGCGTGGCGTGACGTAGCGTTGTATATGTGGCATGGATGAATCGTATAAATCAGGGAGTACCTTGTTATATCTTATCATAACATCAACTTTATTTTGACTACGATGTACATTCTTTATGAGTGTCTCGCGAGACAAATTGGCTGGGTGCTCATATATTTGTTTTAAAACTATAAAACTACTATTGATTTACATGTGTGTAGCTCAGTGAGATACCATGCCGCAGGTTAACATGAATACCCCTCTCAGACACAGTATACTGACTCCGAGCCGACCAGCCCTGGTTTAAGTCCCTTAATGCCGAGCGCCAGACAGGGTAACAACAAGTACCATCTTTTAACGTCTGTTGGTATGACGCTGACGGGCATCGAACCCCGGACCTTCCATTCTCCGGGTGGACGCTCTACCACTAGACCACAAAGGTGGTCGATATGATTAAGCCTTAGAAAGGGGGTATCCTTTATTTTATAAATCTTAACATAAAATATGCGATATTATTTGTATGTTGTGAAGGCTGACTCAGCTTACTTACATCAATAACTTACCATTCTTTTCTAAATTCCAGTACTAGGTTCTCGTCCGAGCTCGCCATATACCATGACGTTTGGCCTAAACCGTCTTATACCTGCAGCTAGATTTAAGAATGTAAGGTGTACCTTTTCGATTATTTCTGCGTAGTGAAAGCCCCTTATTTCAGAACCATAAAGTAAAAAAGGGAAAACAATTGTATCAAACCTTTCGATAAGGTACGGTGGCCCATTCGGGACATGGAGTCTGTTTTTCCATATTTTGATATTTCACCTACTATTATCGTAACCTTTTGCAAATTAACACGATTTGTCTTACAAATATGTGATAAATCATGTGTAAAGAAGATATTGAATCGCTGAAAAACGAAACGAAATTAAAATGTCAAAAACTAAAATGAAAATGTCAAAAACACAAAACGAAAATGTCAAAAACTAAAATGAAAATACAGAAAACTATTTCCACCGCGGTGATAATATTCCCACCGCGGTGATAATATTTACACCGAGGTGAAAACTATTTCCACCGCGGTGATAATATTTACACCGAGGTGAAAACTATTTCCACCGCGGTGGAAATAGTTTTCTGTGTATTCATTTTAGTTTTGGACATTTTCGTTTTGTGTTTTTGACATTTTCATTTTAGTTTTTGACCTTTTCGTTTTGGTTTTTGACATTTCCATTTTAGTTTTTGACATTTTCACTTCACATTTCAGCGACTTAAAAGCTACTTAAAAGTACATTTTCTATGTTTTCGGATGTTTTTATACATGATTTATCACATATTTGTATGGCAGATTGTGTTAATTTGCAAAAGGTTAAGAAAAAAGTCAGTTAACATCAAAATATTGAAAAACAGACTCCATGTCCCTTATGGGCCAACGTAATAAGGCAATCTAGTGGTAAATGTAAATTTCTGGCACGTTTTAATAGGCTAATTGTAGTTTTCATGCTTCCATATTTAACAGATGTATTCTTTTTCTATCTCGGTGTAAAGGGATACCAACTTAATTAACTGTCTATCGAAAAGTGGCCGAAATTAAATTTTTCTTTACACAAGTCAGCTGGACCTGACCCAATGATGACTATTTTCATTTTTCTAAATAAATATCTGGTTTCCCGTCATTACAGTACTTATGAAAAGTATTGAGTTTATTCTGACGCTGCTGTCGGCACAAAAAAGTACTGTATCATCGTCGTATAGAATTAAAATGAGTTTTATAAAACCTCATGATTTAATCCTGTTACAGTATTCTAAATGGATTCTTTCACATTTATTATCAGTAAGATTTTGTTCAAAATCATTTCACCGATTTAACCCACTCAGCCACTGAGGCTGCCACAAAAATGAGAGTCCGACAACTAGTAGCTTAGATCACGTACTTTGTGTACCCCTCTGACAAGTGTAAATTGGCACGGCTCCCATGACCGAAAGCTATGGGACTAAATAAATGTTAGGAATATATGAAAACCACATCCTTCAATATACATTTTGGAAATTTCTATATATTTGATATTGATCTCATATTGATGTTGTCGCTACCGGCTGGAAGACAACTACAGGGACACTGTGTGGCCATATCCTCGTAAATAGTAGGTAGAATCATATCATGCAAAGTGTGTGAGCTTGTTTGACTTTACGGCGCTTTTAGCACTATTCCAGCAATATCACGGCGGGGCGGGGCTGGGCTGCACACATTGTACCCATGTGGGGAATCGAGCCCGGGCCTTCTGCGTGACGTGCGAATGCTTTAACCACTAGGCTACCCCACATCCCTTATCATGCCAAGAAGCTGATGTAGCAGTTGAAAGGGTTATCAAATAACAGTTGCCATCGAACAGTCGCAACTGATATATACACGCATGGTGCCTTGAGTATTAGCTTTAATAGGCCATTCCGGAATAAAATAGTTCCCCCAAAAGCGAGGAACATCTGTTTTATATGCTCATTAAATGAGAAGGTCTGTTAAGAACTACCTCAGTAAGTCAATCACAATGACAGAGCGTCGTAATACATTATATTTACATCAAGTACAAGACGTCAAAATGGCCGTCACGATAAACGTGACGGGAGATATTTCCGAAGTTGTTAATTAACCAGTGGCGATTTCAAGCCTTTGTCATCACTGATCACTGAATGTAAAAAATGTTCTTTAATAAGACAATCTTGGTTTATCAACATTAGGAATATAGGGACTCAGCCAAATTTAGAAACAATTCTTTGTGGTAACAAAAACTTATCTGAAGAACAAAATAATAATTATATTTCACGAGCTACTTTCCAACTATCTGGATTTTACAAGTGATTGGTACATATAATACATGGTTGTTTCAACACTCTGATTTTGATGTAAAACAATAGCATTCCCTGTAACTATCACAGCTTAGTTACATTCTAGATTTCCCGCCCTTCACATAAATTTAAAATGTCTATTACATGTAGTTTATTAACTACTGTGTTATGTTATTAATATATCATGTACCATTGTATACCAAAAATGTAAATTCAACATATGTATATATGTAGATGTATGTGTGAGTGTATGTAGGTATATGTGTTTGTGTGTGTTACTGTATATATATAAGAATATGTGTGTGTTATTATATTTTCTCATTACTTGTAATTCCTATGCACTGTACATTATTCTGCACCACAGAATTAACACACCACAATGTAATGAAATGTATATAGGAGAAGGCCTCGTAAGTGTGTCACTTGTGCCTAATCCATTTGGTTTTCCGCAATAAAATATGTTAAAATCAATACCGCCGCTGGTAGTTTAATTTGTGAAAAATAGCAGGACATTCAGTTGTCGGGGTTATGGGCCAGTGGGTGATTGACGGTTTGTGATTGATTGTTACCAAATGGCGCCAGCTGGGGTAGTAGACGACACACTTTCCAACTATGCTAAATATGAGTAGGCTGGTTATCCTCGAACTCTAGCTTGGCTAACAGATGACTCACCAGTCTAAGATGTATTAAAAAAACACAATTAATTCTTAACCTTATCTTATGCAAATTCAAAAAGAGACACAGAGACACA